GGAGGAGGAGGAGGAAGAGGAAGAGAAGGAGGAAGAGGAAGAAGAAAAGAATCTACCTCAAGGGCCTGGTTGGGTAACCACGTAGGTTCTGTAAGTGCGTTCTGATGTCGGCACAGTGGCAAACTGCGGATCCCATTTCTCACACTATCCTATCCCCCTGGTAGGAATGACCCCAGGTTCAGGGGCACTAGGAAGTTACTCACAGAGTATGAGTAAAGAAGAGGGACCATCAAGGATCAGTGGTTACAACAAGTACCTTAGGAAGGAAGGATGAGAAAGAACACCAAAAATCTGAGGCTCACAAAGGTTAAATCAGCCAGGTGGTGGTAGAGCACACCTTTGATTCCAGCACTTGGGAGGCAGAGCCTGACAGATCTCTGTGAGTTCGAGGCCAGCCTGGTCTACAGAGTGAGTTCCAGGACAGCCAGGACTATTATTCAGAGAAACTCTGTCTTGAAAAACAAACAAAGGTTAATCTCTTAAATGATGCTGGGCACTTGAGGACTGAGGCAAGAAGCATGGTTAGATTTGAGGCCAGTCTGGGCTACACAGTAAGACCTTTTTTCAACACACACACACACACACACACACACACACACACACACACACACTAGGAGACACCCTAGTCATGTGACATGGATACCTGTCTTCACCAGGTGAAGTACTCAGGGCTTAACCTCCAAGAATTCTAGGAGGCCCTGCTGATCACCTGAGTTCTGAAACTGTCCTGTGGCTCCACTGTACAGAAAGCACCACTGAGGCCTGCCAGGTCTATTCAACTCTTATCCCAAGAAGATCTTTGCAGAGAAGGGCTTAGACAGATGGCTGGTTTTCGGGATGATAGCCCTAATCGTCTCATTTCCAAGATGAGCATTCTGTAAGTTTCCCCAAGGTCCTTCTGGGGCAGGGCCTTACCTCCTTCCGCAGGGAGTTAACTAATTGTCCTTTTACACTTAACCCAATAAACTATTATAGCTTTGGCATGTTCTGTCTTATGTCTTCACTGTTTCTATTCTGGCCAAACTCATGTCCAAGATGGTAGGAATTTAGAAGCCTGATAGAAGCAGGTAATGTTTGTTCCAAATCATCACTGAGGTTAAGACTTTGAAGTTTAAAAGGCCCAAGACTAAAGCCAGACAGTTCTTATGAAAATACCAAAAGAGCAGAGCGTGATGGTGAGCACCTTTAACCCTAGGATTCGGTTGGCAGAAGCAGGGGCAGAGGCAGAGGGCAGAGGCAGGGGAGGCATATCTCTGGGAGTTCCAGGACAGCCATGGCTACACAGAGAAATCCTGTCTTGAGAAGACAAAAATAAAAAAATAAAAAAGAAGAAGAAAGAAGGAAAAGAACAAAAGAATGAAGTCTAAGGAAACTAGAGTATTTATTTAAATGTGCCAGAGGCTCATGGGAACTACCAGCAGAGCCAGTCAACACCGCTGGTTGATGACTTCAATGCAAGCGTGGGAAAGGCCCAACGTCAACCGGTCAACTGCACACACGGTCAGGTCTTTGACCCTAGTCTCCGGCTCCGAACCCAGGGAACTTGGAGTTGTCCTGCTAACCCTGCTCCATGCCGCTGTCTCCCACAGCCGGCTTGCTCTGCAGCTGCAAAGCTCCACAAGAGCAGATGTCGTCTCCAAAAGGGCCCGCTCACCTGAGTCTCCTCAGCCCAGGCTTTAAATGCCCCACGGCGGCGAGTGGGGAGGGTGAGGCTCTGGTTTGCTTGGATGATCCCAGCCCCTGGCTCCTGGGCTGTTAAAATGGATCACATTCACATTCACAACGGAAAAACTGTGAGGGATGGGTCTGTGCTTCAATAAAGAAACAATAGATGGAACACAGGGTGGTTGTCCTTAGAAATTACATCAGGAGGAAGCAGATAAAATTATTCAAGTCGCCAGCCAACTCGGATGCTCAGTCTATCCTCAGAAGCTATGGGGGGTGGGGTGGGGGGCTAACACCAGGCCAAAGAGGCAATAGCCAAGAAAGGCTCGTGCTGGAAACAGACCAAAAGCTCCAGCAGGACTTCTGACAGCCTTTGACCACAGCTCTGATTCCTTGTCCATGGGGTGGCCCTGGGGAGGAGGCCTGCTTTGGGGGGACTGTTTAATGATTTGCCAGCAAAGAACAAGGCAAACAGACTGCTGGCAGCTGCGTGGATGCAACAGGAGAGTAGCTGTTTTATTCCCACTCACAGAATAACCAACCTTCTAGGCAGAGAATAAAGAAGAAAGTGAGATGGTGTGGGGAAAGCCTGGGGTGTGGATGCCACTGAGGTTCAGCATGTCATAGGGTCTCTGGCATGTATCATAGCATTCATACCAGCTAGTGTTTCCATCTTCTGAACATTTCAATGACATCGAATAACTTCTCTGCAGCGCTCAGGAACTCAAAGTAACATATATAAGACGTTTTTACTTATTTATCAACCCCTAAGATAGCTGTTTTGAAAATGTGTGTGTGTGTGTGTGTGTGTGTGTGTGTGTGTGTGTGTGTGTGTGTGTGTATGAGTGCTCACAGAGGCCAGGGGTGTTAAACCCCCTTTGGAGCTAGAGCCACGGGTGCCTTGTGGGCTGCTTGGTCCTGGGAATTGAACCTGGCTCTTAATCTTTGAGACATCTCTCCAGCCCTGTAGGTTTTGTCTGTTTGTTTTTTGTTTTGTTTTGTTTTTCGAGACAGGGTTTCTCTGTGCAGCTTTGCACCTTTTCCTGGAACTCACTTGGTAGCCCAGGCTGGCCTCGAACTTACAGAGATCCGCCTGGCTCTGCCTCCCGAGTGCTGAGATTAAAGGCGTGCACCACCACCGCCAGGCTGTGTTTTTTGTTTTTTGTTTTTTTTTTTAAGATTTATTTATTTATTATGTATACAGCATGTATGACTGCAGGCCAGAAGAGGGCACCAGATCTCATTACAGACGGTTGTGAACTGGGAATTGAACTCAGGACCTCTGGAAGAGCAGTGAGTGCTCTTAACCACTGAGCCATCTCTCTGACCCCCAAAAATATGTCCTTAACTCGTGTGTACAGAAGTACATGTGGGGGCTGGAGAGCTGGCATGGCAGTCAGGGCACTGGCCGCTCTTGCAGAGGACCTGGGCTCAGTTCCCAGCACCAGACGGTGGCTAAATAAGCACTTGACAGGCCAATTCCAGTTCCAGAGGAGCTGGTGCCCTTTTTCTGGCCTCTCAGAACCTGCATGCAGGGTGAACCAGAGATGCTTACCCATATATCTTTTTCTTTTTCTTTCTTTCTTTCTTTTTCTTTCTTTCTTTCTTTCTTTCTTTCTTTCTTTCTTTCTTTCTTTCTTTCTTTCTTTCTTTCTTTCTCTCTCTCTTTCTTTTTCTTTCTTTCTTTCTTTCTTTTGTATAATGAGAAAGTTTTGTTGTATACTAAATTCCTTTTTCTTTTCTTTCTTTTTTTAAATAATTTATTTTTTATTTTTATTACATGTGCATTGGTGTTTTGCCTGCATATTTGTGTGAGGAAGTCAGATCCCCCCTGGAGTTACAGGCAGTTGTGAGGACGAGACATGCGGGTGCTGGGAGCTGAACCCGGGACCTCTACAAGAGTAGCTAGTGTTCTTAACCACCAAGCCATCTCATCAGCCCCCTTCTTTTCTCTTCCTTCCTTCCTTTCTTTTTCTTTTTT